CTTTCTGTCAAATATATTAGGAAAACAGCAAGGCTAATTCCATCAAACTTAAAGCTGTTGATGTTGCTTACACATCCTTGCCTTGTCTTCTTCAACATTTCCAAAAGATGTGGTTCAGTGGTGGAACTCAAGGCCATAAATTCAGCCTCCATGAGAGAAGGGAGAGGTGCCACAATGTTTTCAAGAACTTGCCCATTGTGTTACCCAAAAAGATGCATCTTGCTCCACACCAAGCATGCTTATTACCAAAAGGACAAGTTTTGCAAAAGAAGCTTTATTCAGCAAAAGGCAGGCATGAGAAGTCAGGAGCCCCAGATCTCACCTGTCTCTCCAGGATAGGTAAAGGGATATTTGTGGGGCATAGAAACAAGGTAATCAGAGGCAGGTGAAGACGGTGAAGACAGTGAAGCTGTGAGTTGTGGAATATTAAGATGTATTTAAGATGTGCTACATTAGTTTATGCTGTGGAACATTTGTTTAATGATGCAAAGATGTGTTGCATTCTTTTATATTGCATTTGTTTAACTGTGTAAAGCTGTGTTACTTTGTCTGCCTAAAACACCTGATTGGTCTAATAAAGAGCTGAACAGCCAGTAGCTAGGCAGGAGAAAAGATGGGTGGAGCTGACACGCAAAGAGAACAAATATGAGAACTCTAGGCTCAGGAGAAAAGAGAGGAGAGAGGGAGCAAGAAGAAAAGGAAAGGAGGACACCAAGGGCCAGCCACCCAGCCACACAACCAGCCACAGAGTAAGAAGGGAAGAAAGATACAGAGAATAAAGGCATAAAACCCAGAGGTAAAACATAGTTAAAGAGAAATGAGATAATTTAAGTTAGAAAAGCTGGCTAGAAACAGCCAAGCCAAGGCTAGGCATGCATAAGTAAGAATAATTCTCTGTGTATTTATTTGGGAGATGAGTGGTGGGTCCCAAAGAGTTAAAAAACAGAACTGCAGTGAGTGGCCTTGCATGTGGATAGCCAGATGTCATGGCTTTGTGCCCTGCATGTTGAAAGTAATGAGTATTGACTTTATTGTTCTCTGAAAGTGAGATTTGAGGGTTGGTTTGTTGTCTTCTCCTCCCCCCCCCCCCCCCCCCCCCCCCCCCCCCCCGCCCCTTGAGAAAGGGTCTTGCTGTGTAGACAAGTCTGGTCTCAAATTCGTGGTAGTCCTTCTGCCTCTGCTCCCACCTAGGTACTCAGATTACAAGTGTGACTCTCCATGCCGTGCTTGAATGTGGAATTTTGCCCCACCAGATGCTTGCAATGGACCCAGTTCCAGCTAGTTTTAGCCAGTACTAAGTTCCTGAAAAACTTGGGGATCCATATGGCAGGGGTACTGTCTGTAGCAAAGCAACAGGGTGTGTTACTGCATGTGGGTATATGACAGCTAGAGCTGATGAGGGTGGGAGCTCTCAGGTTTGCGTTCAAGGGGCAAATTGTCTTTTTGAGTAAGAGATTGGTTTATTAGAAGAGCTATTAATGCCAAGGAAAGAAAGCATGGCTGTGGCCCTGGGGAAAGTTGAGGCCCACATGGCAAAGTGAGGACGCCTTCTTACAGGTTCCAGAAAAGGAGGAGATTCTATGCTGGGGAGGGCCGATGAGTCCATAGATGCTGCTTGCAGGCCGGGAAGTCTCTGATTCCCCGATGGTGATGAGAGGGGATTGTTTCTTGCATTCTGAGGAAAGACTATGTGACCTTGAGGATGTGGGGGGAAGTGAGGAAAGGCACCCGTGTTAGTGAGTGTGCATTCGTTGTATTGGGTGTACAGGTGTTGGGTAACCCAATAGCCTGAGGTCTGGTAGCCTGGAGCCTTGTGTCAGGATGGGGAGAGACACAGCTCAGGTATGACCTGAGCAGCATCTGGAGTGGATCCCAGCAGAAAGCAAGTGACACTGCAGAGTCTCATTCTTGTTTTCTTTGGGCATTAATAGTATCCATTACAAATCTATTAAAATTATATTATAACAAAGAGAACAATACTGTCTCTATCCCTAGCTGTCCAAGCATACCATTTGTGAAAGAATTGGAATTCAGTCAAAATACTTCAACAATATAGAATAATTTCACCTTTTCACATTGTGCCTTCTTTTTTATTACTCCCCCATGGATTTGTGTACATGCATGAACGCACAAGTGTGGATGTCAGAAACTATCATTTCTCTTCTTCCACCATTAAACTCAGGTGGCAGGCTTGCTGGCTCTTGTGCATTTTTCCTAAGTAGAAAACTCAAATCCCTATCATCTTTGTATTTTGTATCTAATAATGGTGCCATGTAATTATACTGCTGATACTAATTCATCATTTACTTTTGCCCAGTTAGCAACTGTGTGATCCCGACAGTCAGTACACAGAAACACAGCACCCTCGTAAAAATGCACACTCCTCTCTCCAACTTCTTATGTCCTGGAAGGAAACAGGACAACCATCAACAAGAAACTGGGCAGTACACAGTTAACCAGCTCGAACTCCTTCAGCTTTAAGGTCATTTCACCACTGAACATACTTGTTTCAAATGATCAGAGGTTGTATTTAGACTGTCTATCCTTTTGGTACTGACTAGAGCCTGATTGTGTAAGCCACCTGCTATTTCCCCAAGTTCCGTAGTGTTGAGACAGTAGAAGTGGTAACTAGAATCCATGAGAATCTTCTCTTCCAACAGCAAAAACTTATTTCGTGTTGTAAACTGATCTGTGGCCCAAGTTGTTAGTATTTACTTATTCAGAGATTAGTAGATCTACTCATCCAAAATAAAATTTTAGAGTGTTTAAATGATAGTATTTCAGTTTGTGGCCTCACTAAACTTTTCCATATGACTGCAGTTGAAGTTCAATTATCTTAACAAAAGTCAGAAGCAAAGCTAAGCTTCCACAAGGCATTCTCAGACTCAGCATTTCCTGGGTCAGAACCTACAACTACTTTCTATAGCTCTGCTATAGTAACTCACATTTGTGTCCTTACATGACAGGTGACCTAGTAAAGGATGGGTTTGGGTCCACAGACAGTTGTTTGTTCTTCCAGTTCATTCATATTATTTGTAAGTTTCTTCTCCTTGATCTTTACTTTCTGGACACGAACTGCAGAGTAGGTAGCCAGATTGAGGCAAAGGTGAGGTCAAAATTAGCATAGTATTAAAGTTTGCACAGGGAAACTGAAAACTCACCATAAGAGCTGACGTGTAACAGCCTACACAGAATAAATTCATTCTATGCAAATGTTCTCAAAACCCAAGACTATAAAAGTTTTGGTCCTTTGTACAGCTCTCCACTGAGCCTCTACCCTTTCACCAGCTCTGTCCCACTTTATCTTTTGGAAACGTTTTTTTTTTTTCTAATAAACTATAGCTACTTCTGCCACTGCCTTTATGCCCCTGATCCAGTTCCTCATTGTAAGAAACCCCAGTGGGTACCCAATGAGCCCCAATATCTGCCTGTAATAAAACCACTGGTAATCTGTGATGTTTAAATTGTTGTTTCAAAGTATATGTAAAGATCATTGCAATAAAGTCACACTCCTAAACTTATTTGCATTAATGAGATCAAGAGACTTACTGTTGTTATTTATCATCCCCCACGAACAAATGGCTGTGGTTCTAAGTCCACTTTCTTAAAGTTTGCAAATCAGGACTGGCAGTATGGTTCAGTACGTAAAAGCATTTTCTTCCAAGCTTGACAATGTGAGTTCAGTTCCCATTTTAGAAACAAAGAATAGTCTCCATGTGCCACAAAGGAACACAGGAACAAAGCAAAACTAGTTTAGTGAGACAACTCTTTTTGTAAAAAGAGTGCAGCAAGACTCAAACTGGGCTAGCAAGCCACCAGGACAGGAAGTTCGCTTGATTTTTATTCTAACATAGGTAGACTGTCTCTTTTCCCCCATTGTCTGGGATCCAGTGTCACTGTCTTTTGCGTTGGCTAGTTTTAAAAGAGTGCACATCTTTAATCCCAGCACTGGGGGGAGGGGATTGGGGGAGGGGTAGAGGCAGAGGCAGGCAGATCTCTGTGAGTTCTAAGCCAGCCTGGTCTACAGAGTGAGATCCAGGACAGGCTCCAAAGCAATGCAGAGAAACCCTGTCTTGAAAAACAAAACAAAACAAAACAAAAAAAGAGGGTATAAAAAGATTTGTATAAAACTAATACAAGTTATGGGGAGGTTTATGGAATATTGGCCCTTGGTGGGCAAACTACCTTTTAAAAAGTTATTTTTTTCACACCTAAGACTCTACATGATAGAAGGAGAGAACAGACTCCCACAAGTTATCCTCACTTGCATGCATGCATTTGCTCACATTTTATTTTTGAGACAGGGTCTTACTGTGTAGCCATTGCTTGTTTGGGCCTCACTATGTAGACCAGGTTGGCCTTGAATTCACAGAGTTTGGCTTGCCTCTACCCCTCAAGTGCTGAGATTATTAAAGGCATATGTCACCATTCCTGACCTTATTTTACTTTTTTATCTGAAAAAATTAAAATACTTTTAAAAGTTTCTACATTTATTTGTATCCTAATTTGAAAAATAAACAAAGTTAGTGACTGTTTTGTTTAGTTAGTACAATCTTGTCATGTATCTAGCTTTAACTACTTAATTCATCCTGCTGATAAGTACTGTGTGTCAGATCATGAGACTGTCCTTTCCAACACTGGTTCTGCAGAGAAACCAGAGCTCACAGAAGAAATCAGGCCACATGTGCACATACCCCTGCACAGAAATAAGGGGGTGGGGATGAGAGAGTTAGTTCTTGTACCCATCCTGATCCCAACTGCCCTATGCTATGGTTTTTACAGTTCCCAACTTTAGCAACTTTAGGTTCTACCCAGGACTTGGCTCCTCCATGCTCTTTGTCAAGTAAGCAATGTAAATCACATGGTGTAGAACTTCTGATACCCCCTGAAATGATACAAAAAGCCAATTATTTTCCTTTGTTCTCCAGATTTTTCTTTGTAGAACTAGAAAAGTTCTAGATCGGGTTTGGATCAGTGCTCATGTTTTCTTTCCTTTGCAGGCAAGAAGCTCTTCTGGCTGCCATTAGTGAAAAGGATGCTAACATAGCTCTTTTAGAGCTTTCGTCCTCCAAGAAAAAGACCCAAGAAGAAGTGGCTGCGCTGAAACGGGAGAAGGACCGCCTGGTGCAGCAACTCAAACAACAGGTGTGTGATGCAGTAGAGGCAGGAAGAGCCGGGGCCCAGTTCCCACTGCCCTTTCAAAAATGTCTGTGCCACTGTGTGTCTTTAAGACCTTATGTTTCGTGCTAGAGATCAAATACAGAAGATTTTCATAATTAGAGACTTCACAGGTCTATGGATAGCTCTAAAAAAAAAAATACATAGAATTCTTAGTGATTGGACTAAATTAGAAAATGTCACAAGTCCTGAGGTTTTTGTTTTGTTTTTTTTTTATGTTATAAAAGTCACAGTGATCAATCTTTTATTCATACTCACACTTGATTATTTACAATGTTGAACATTTACCTTCTCTGTGTTTTCATCTTTTAAGGTTGTTTGTTTTCATTTTGTTGAGACAAATCTTGCTATGTAGCTCTAGCTGGTCCGATACTCATTTTGTAACCCAGGCTGGTCTTAAATTCATGACACTTCCCCTACATGAGTTTCCCCAACACTGGGATTATAAGTGTACACTACCATGCCCAGCTGTATCTATAAAATTTTGTTGTAGTTTTTAACAAGAGGACTTAATTAACCATATAATTCTGTTTCACTGTTGATAAAAATCAAGGCATTAATTGACTCACTGAACAGATTAACTCCAAATGTCAGTTGTTAGTAAGATCTGTACTTTCCTCCAGCCTACACTGCCAGATCAGTGTTTGCTTCACCTCTATGGCTTACGAAACCAACTCACAGACTTCTTAGAACCCCTCTCTCCAGGACCCTCTCTCCCTTGAACCACACTCTTTACTGTCAACAGATCCTTCTAGACTCTCACCTGAATTTATTTAGCAGCATTGACCAATTATTATTAAATGCTTACTGTGTATTAGGACGTCTCCTGGCTGCTGCAGATACAGCAAACGTGACCCTGAAGTCTTGCATTTATTTCAAGATCACATTTTATCCAGTATTGTGGATATTGTCACACAGGGCTTTCATGTCACTAGTCTGACAATGACATATTTCTTTCCAGTTTTACTAAAAAACAGAACAAAAACATTTTTATTACTGATTTTTTTTTAACATCTTCCCAGATTACTTCGAAAACCTCATTTTAACATCCTAGAAGTATGGCAGGCAGTGGTGGTGCACACCATTAATCCTAGCACTTGGTAGGCAGAGGCAGGCTGGTCTCTGTAAGACCAACCTGATTTACATAGGCTATATAGAAAGACATTTGTCTTTGTTCATTATTGTAAACAGCAGTCAAGTTCCAGAGTGTGGAGTAGAAAGAACCATGGATTAAGAGTTTAGGGTTAAAATTAGCAGATCGGGAATATAAAAGTGGGGCTATAGGGTTGTAAATAATGTGTCCACTCACAGCACAAAAAGACTTCAGTGAGTTGCAATATATTTATGCTTCATTTCCCTCAACTATAAAATGAATGTTATGGAAGTGTAAAAAAGAATTGGCTTGTATCTTCAGAAAGCCAAGATCTTCCTGAGAAAACTATTACCTGAGGTGAAACTGTGGTGTATAGGACTCTGGGTGTATGCCTGAGAAGACTATTACCTGAGATAAAACTGTGGTGTATAGGACTCTGGGTGTATGCCTGAGAAGTGCCTGGGAGCTGCTGAGCATCATGTCCTAAAGCCATCACTCTGTCCTGCTCAGTTGACTAGAGCCCATTCCTGGTCTCACTGCTGTTTCCTGTCACTGCTCCAGGCTGAGCATCACTCTGCTGTAACCTCAGTCTTAATCCAGGTGTGCCCAGAGTGACTAGCACAGGGTGGGGAAGAGATATTTTCCTAGTTTCCTGTTGTGTTATATTTTAACTGTTTAACCTACAATCCCACTTAATTTCCCCAGTCTCCAAGTTGTTACTGTGTTTCCATGCAGTTGTGTATTTTGTTGGGCCCACATGTGCCACTCTGTACATGTGGGAGCTAGAGGACAGCTTGCAGGAGTCTGTTCTAGAATAGAACTTGGGTTACCAGGCTTTGTAGCAAGTCTCTTTACCTGCTGAGCCATATCACAGGCCCCACGTACACTTTATGTAATTCTTTCATGTGGTTCTGTCCATTGTATAATTGCCAGGTTTTAGTCTCTCTGGGAATTACTAGGACACGTGACACTTCATTGGCTCCCTTGCTCTTGTTTACTGCTTCACCATATAAAGCTCATTGCTCTGACATCACTAATTTGGACTTTGAGATAGACCTACACTTTGATTTGGCGCATCTTGGATTCTAGCAGACCTAACAAACATTTACTTATCTGAAAACTAACATTTGTACATACTTTCAAATGTCTCCTGAATCCTGCTGGAATGCTGGTTCCCACAATGACAGTTGCCAGGGCTCTGTCCATATTCCATTTATGAGTAAGCTGTCTGTCCCCTATTGTGTACACACTGTCTTGACTCCTTTACTAGAGACATTTTACGCTCTGTTCATGGGTAGAATGTGTCTTTTATTTTCACCTTACACTTTTCTCTCATAGGCTGTGGGGTTGGCCAATGGTCCACCTTGGAACAAATTGTATATTACTGTCCTTTCCTCTGTCTCTCACAGCAGCTTGCTCTATTGGGTGTAAGATGTGTTGTTTGTGGTACTTACTAAGTCCATTGCATCCCTTTGTTAGCGATGGAGGCATGCAGGTGCAGAGTACTCCCACTTACTCCAGCTTTACTTTCGCTGGACACATTTTTATCATTACAGCCATGAGAGAAAATTCAGTTTGAGTGTCAGTTCTTCCCTAACCGAGGGCAGGTCATTTTACTTGTTGGAAATGTGTTTCTTCTCCACCCCCACCCCCCACCCCCAGACATGGTTTCTCTGTGGCTTTGGAGATTGGCCTTGAACTAGCTCTTGTAGACCAGGCTGGCCTCAAATTCACAGAAATCCGCCTGCCTCTGCCTCCCGAGTGCTGGGAGTAAAGGCGTGCACCACCAACGCCTTTCCTATCTTGAAGATTCCACTAACAGTTTTAAATCTCTTGCTGTACATATAAATGATGTTATTTATTTTTATTTAATTTTAATTTGTTTTAAGAAGAACTTTATTAATGTTATCTAGAGGCATGTCCGATACTTTTTAAAAGCTCAGATTTGTTTTGTTTTTGTTTTTTATTCTTGGTCTTAGGCCTTGACCTACCCATTGGAGCAATTTTTTTTTTTGTATTTTATTTTTGTTTTTATATCTTGGCCACAGTTTCTCTTCCCTCCTGTCCTCCCAGTCTTTCCCCCCCCCCCCCCCCATCCACTCCTCCTCCATTTCTTTTCATAAAAGGGCAGACCTCCCATGGATATCAACCAGCAACAGTATATCAAGGAAATAACTTTAAAAAAGACTCTTTCATTTATTCTTTGACAATTTCATACATGTATACGATTTAACTTGCTCATGTCTACCACAAGACTCCTCGGTACACCTTCCTCACTCCCTCATGTTTCCCCACCCCCACTGAGTCCAGTTAGTACTGCCTACCAGAATGTTCGCTAATGTCCTTGAGTTGGTCTTGTGTAGGTAACCATAGCTGCAGTGACTTCATGAGTGCAACAGCCAAATCCTGTCTGGAAAAGAGCATTTCACAGAACTCCTGCTCATCTTCTGGCTCTTACATTCTTTCTGCCACTTCTCCACAAGTTCCCTGAGCCTTGGGGTGGGGGGGGGGGTGTTGATAGAAATGTCAGTTAGGGCTGAGCACTGGATGGGCACATAGTCCCAACATTTGACCAGTTAAGAGTATTCATTAACTGCTGCCCACTTCAAAAAGAGACTTCTCTGGCCAAGGGTTGGGAGCAACTCTAAGTTAAGGCTATAAATGTAAATATTTAGAAGACAGTTTGACAACATTTCCATTTATCTTTGGTCCCTAAGCCATGGGTTTGGGGCTAGGTTTTCCGTGTAGAGCAACACAATAAATATGTAAATTCTTATCTATCAGATTTACTGTTGGCAGTCTGTAGTACATATAGAGATCTTGTCTAAACACAAGTAAAATTGTGTAAAGAAAGACTAAAGATCTAATGTGAACCAAACTTGATGAAAGTCACCATTTTTGATTTATTTTCTTTCTCTATAAAGAAAAAAAATGTTGGATGAAAAATCTTTCTAGCTAGCCAAGAAAATAGAGCTTTCTATAGACTAGTTACAGGTTTAAAGCCTTTCATTATGAATTAAATTTGGAATGGGAGTCTTTTGCCAATAAAAATAGTGGAGAATAAGCCTTTAAAGCTACATACATAATGTAGAATCCTGAGTTACCATCATTCTTCATTGTTTAAGAAATGACGACAAGAAAAATCTTTTCCAGTATTTTTGATCCATGGTTTATTTAATTGACAGACAAGGAGTCTATGAATTTAAAGGGCCAACTTTATTCAAAATTTAAAAATCTACATGTATACTGAACATATATGAATTTTTTCTTGTCATTATTCCCTAAGTAATACCAACCATTTATAAAGTGTGTAGAAGAATATGCATAGGTTCTATGCATCTACTATGCCATTTTCTATAAAGGACTTGAATGTTCCTCAGGCTTTGGTATCCATGGAGGAGGGAGTTTCAGAGATTAGAACCAATTCTCCACTGAAACCAAAGATCAGTTATATATCACAAGGAACTATTACTTTTGATTTAAATATGGACTGAGGGACTATATTGCATGGTGTGTTGGTCACATTTTTCAGTTTCAGCATGTTATTTTAATACATATATATGTATATATGTGTAAGTAATTTTAGTTTCATTTTTACTTGTGTAGCAAGACTGGCCACATTTATGTATTTTCTTTCATGTTCACTGTCAGCAAGGAAAAGAAACTGACACAACAGTGTCCGTGTTGTGACTGATGATTCCTTAGCTGGGACACTCAGTTCCTTCAAGTAAATTTTATGTTTTGAACATGACTGCAGGTGATGCTGTCACTGAAGTTCTAGAGCAGGGCGAGGACTACTATCTCCATGTATTCTTCACTCCCCATGGGTGACCTCCTTAAAGTCTGTGTCACTGACATGGGTTTTGACCCCTGCTCTCCTCCTTCCCACCTCATGAAGCTCTGCCCACTGCCCAGCTCTAAAGTCACTCCTTTGGATTTTCAGCTTCTGTTACCGCACACCCTGGTCCCAGTTACCACATTTATTAGTCATCTTCTACTCTATAGAAATCCCCTTGACTTCACACAATAGTTATTATTTCAGGAATTGGAGAATAGCTTCCTCTATGGTTCCATTTAGGGTCCCTTGCAAGTTTTCAGTCAGGCTGATGGCCAGATCTACAGTCATCTAACGGCCTGACTTGGACTGGAGAGTCTTTTTCAAGTCCTCCTGTGGTCTTGGCTCTTCATAGGGTCACTTAGAATCTGGCAATGGATTACCCTAACCAAGTGAGGAAGGGGTGGGGTTCCTCCCAGTGTCTTTGCAGCTTAAATATAGAAATGATATACCACCCCTCCTGCCTTGCCACTTGTTCCTTTTTGCTGCCTGCTCACATGGCACAGTGAATGGGTGAGCCCTTAACCATATCAGAAGAAGACTAATACAAGATTTAGCCTCCTAAAGGCCCCACCCTCAGTCCTTCAGGACCGTGGAGAAGGTTCCAGTATGTGAACTTTGAGCAGATACAAACACTGAGACTATAAGAAAGGTTACTGTAAGGCATTCTAGAAACGAAAAATGTTGTATCACAATTTGTCAATGTAGATTCTCTTTCTGTCATATGCCAGAAGGAGGAACTGACTTAATATGTATGCTTGTATGTGTGTGTGTATTGTTGTTGTTAGATTAAAATATAAAGAAACTGAGTGCTCAACAATATAGGACTAATTAAACAATTCATTCTATACAACCAGGAAAAATTAGGGATAAGGCCGTGAAAATTGATTATCGTCATCAGACTATGATCCCTAAAAGGTACCAACTTTAGGCTATGCACTTTTCTAAATGCTTTCTTTCTATTAACCTAATTAACCAACCCTCACAGCAGTCTCTTAGCTGAGATTTATGATCACCCCCATTTTTAAGATGGGGAAATTAAGGTTCAGAATTTACCTCAAAACATGCCTAAGGTATATGGAACTAGAATTAAACTAAGTCAATTTGTCCCTAAAGTTCTTGCCCCCAGGCATCATTGGGTTTTTCTGTAAACATTGGGAGGGTAATCAAAATATTTTTAATTCACCAAGAAATGTGTTAGAGATAGCCAGCCAAATTTGGCAAAGCCCAGTGGGTAGGGAAATGAGACAGTGTCTCCTGCCAGAGATGCAAATTCCCTGCACAATAGAGTGGTGTTTCAGGTACCATGCATATAGAAATAGGCACCAAGCAAGTGTAAATGAGAAATGTTCCCTTTTATGTGTTCACTACTAGGTGGAGGCTGCATGGATGTACTTAGTATATTAGTTACTGTCTGATGCTATGTAAAAGACCACAGCCAAAAACAACTTATGGAAGAAGTTTATTTTGGCTTACATTCCAGAGGGATAAGAGCCCATTATGACAGGGAAGCATGGCAGCAAGTGGCAGAAAGGGCAGCAGGAAGTTGAGAGATCACATCTTTTACCTTAAACACAAAGCAAAAGGAGTGACAATACTATATAGTCTCAAAGTTCATGCCCAGTGACATCCTTCCCTAAACTCCCCAAGCAGCACCTCCAGTGGACCCTATGGGGGAACATCTCGTTAAACCACACTGAGATATTGATAGTGAGTATCACTCATCAGAGGAACCATGGGTAATATTTCTTTAACTTTAGTCTTCAGATTGTGTTCATGGTCAAGATTTTAAAATCGTACAATATAAGCAAGACTTCAATGCTTTGAAGCTTTATTTGAACAACATTTTATCAGCATAGCCTGCATTACTTTTGTGTATTCTGACCACAGTGATTTTCTAAGATGTTGGTGTAGCACTTATTTGCTCATTGTTCAGAGTCACCGTCCTCCTTTTTAGAGAAGATGAATTGAAACAGACTTTAGAAGATTTGATTATTTTTAAAACCAAAATTACTTACTGATAGCTGTTAAATTTTGTACATGTTTCTTCTGTCCTTTTCACATTGCTTTTTTATTCTCTTAGATTTTTCTAGAAGACATATTATCTCATTTATAAGTAATAACTTCTCCCCTAATACTTATATAAAATCTACCCAAAACTGAATACTGTTTTAAAAGATGATGAGTCAGTTCTAAGATAACATGAAAATGAGTCCTACCTAAATATAACTAAAAAATTGAAGTTGTAGAATACCATGTGTAGTTCAATCTAGTCTTATTTAGCAATATATATATATATAATATATATATATTTGGTTTTTTCAAGACAGGGTTTCTCTGTGTAGCTTTGGAGCCTATCCTGGCACTCGCTCTGGAGACCAGACTGGCCTCGAACTCAGGGAGATCCACCTGCCTCTGCCTCCCGAGTGCTGGGATTAAAGGTGTGCGCCACCAACGCCCGGCTTATTTAGCAATATTTTTTAAAGTACTGTATAAAGTGCTTGCCTTGAGACTTGTCTTCCCTGCACAGTTACCTGCCTATCTTAGCTCAAGCGACCATAAAACAAAGAAAAAAGAAAAATACCGTAGGATGGGTGACCTGTTTGCTCACAGTCTAGAGGTCTGAGAGGTTCAAGATCAAGAGAGGTCTCTGCTGACTCCTTTTCTGGTGAGAGTTCTCTTCCTCACCTGAGAGGTTGTCTTCTCTGTGTTCACATAAAGGAGATCTGTGACTCATTTGCTCTTAGAACATAGCCATAATCACAAGTTAGGAGTCAACCCTTTGACTTCACTGAGTCTGAATGAGTTCTTAAAGACTTTGTCTCTAGATGTGGTGACATAGGGGTTAGGGCTTCAGTATATGAATAGCTTTGACAGTATCCTCCGAAAGTCTGTGTTTAATTTATTTTATTGTGGACAGGACTAATTTCATGGTTGTGAAAGTCTTTAAGGTTCTTGTTGCTCTACCATGTATTATAGGGATTTATCTCAATGTAAACTATGAATTTCTTTTTAGACACAAAATCGAATGAAACTAATGGCTGACAACTATGAGGATGACCACTTCAAATCCTCCCGTTCCAATCAGACGAACCATAAGCCCTCCCCAGACCAGGTAAGACTGTGCTGGAATGTCTCATTCTTTAAAAACTATGATTCCATATCCTTGTGTTTTGTGGTAGCATATTGCAAATTCTAGATTGTAGATTTAGAAGAAGAATCTCAGCTTTTTTTCAGTAATTCATGATTAAGAAATGGATGTTTCTGAGTATCTTAGGAGCATATGCTTCAATTGTTTATGAGAACTATTGTTAAATAATTGCATTGAGATAAGAAAAAAATGAGTCCTACTTTTCTTATTAAAGAGCTGGTTCCATGTTAGGAAACAGGACTCATTTTCAAGCTCAGCAAGGCACAACTCAGAATAGAAATTACTTCTTGTTGAATTGCAAATTATGTAACCTGCCCATCTTCTGTGAAAGGTACAGCTGAAGGCTGGGATTTACCTAAGTGGTCAATAGCTTGCCTAGCATGTCCAAGGCCCTGAGTTGAATCTCCAGTACCCACAAAAAATTAAAGGTGATAGATGAAACTTAAATTTCTTCCTTTCATTTTCTGGTAGACCCCTTCAGCATGACCTTCTCAAGGAATGCTGTTGCCTTTAGCTTGCCAACAGTGCAAAAGAGATATCCATGAAACTGAAGGGACTCATACTCAATTTCAAATATTTTAAAGCAGAAAAATCCTCCCAAGATCTCAAATGTGATGAATGGGGAAGAGTATTGAGCAGATTACCTCATATCTCTGTGTCCAAATCAGTTCCAACATCTCCGTCACACCCAGTCTTAAAATATACAAAAAATAAAGCTAAGGGAAAAACAATAGCCAAGTAATTACATCCATATGACTGCAAAGTCAAGGAAAATTCCCCTGCTAAACATCTCTACCAAGTGACAACTGTGGCATTGTCCTAAAAGTAGCCATAGAAACCATATAGATAAAAGTAGCAGTTGATATCCAAATTGTTATTCTTTCTGAGACTCAGAAGGAATGGTTCTATATGATGACTAATCCAGCTGAGACCCAGCTAATGCTTTAGCGGAGAACAGAATCAGCCTTTCATAAAATGGAGAGTTATCTGCTTGGTGTCTCCCTACCTAGAAACCACTGTTTGCTCTGCCTGATTACTGCTACTGGAGTTAAGACTGTCTATCCTCTGCATGAAGCATGTCAGGTATTTTCCATGGAACAGGTTTAGATATGAGGTGGAGGTGATTGGCCTGGGGAGACAAACATGGAGAAAGGCAACAAGCAGATCCTACTGAAACGCTCTGACTTGATTAATGTTGCACACCCAGCTCTGGAAAAGGCAGAAGAGTAAACATGGAACCATAAACTAATTACTAATTTGTAGTTAGGGGACTAGAACCTAATGTTAAAAAAAAAAAAAAAAAAAAAAAGCCAAAACTTCTTTTCTGCTACATTATGTTTATGTCTTTGTTTTAATACTAACCAACTCTTTTTCATTCCCATGCTGCCTTGGGGCATTGTTCCCATGTCATCTCTCCCCATAGGATGAGGAGGAGGGTATATGGGCATAGCCAATCAGATGCTCTTAGTTCAGCCATTTTGTTCAGAACGGTGAGAAACAGCTTTCCTTAACTACGAAATGATTTTCATTTGTTTCCATTTTTCTTCCTACATGATCACCTTCACGTCTTGCTCTGTGCAGTCATGAACTCCCCAGTGTGCTTTCTGCTCCCTCATTTTCACATGGTTCTTGTGTGGATTGCTGTGCTTTTGACATAGTGGGGTTTGGGGTTTGGGGCTTTTATTTCTTTCTCTGTGTTAATAGTCACATTTATAGTTTCTTTCTGTATGTTTTGGACAGAACTTCCAGGGCATATAACTAAATTTCTCCAATTAATGATTTTTTGCTAAATCATCCTATCTGACTTTACAGTGTCCTGGTTAGTAACTTACCACAAATTGGCATTGGGGGGGGGGAGCCAAATGTGCTATTAGATTATGTTAGAAATATACTTTATAATTATAAATATATAGTCTTTTATTTTGTTTTTAAATCACTGTGCCATGAGCTATATTGCATCTCCTCATGTTCCTCTCTGCCTATGGAAAAAAATGCTGGATTCTGAGGGTCAGGACCTAGGATAGTCCTAGGGCTTTGACATTATTCTTAATATATCAATAAAGAAAAGGAGGAACAGAGGAATAAAAGAGATTTTTGGATTTGGTGGGGTTTTTTTGTTGTTGTTTTTAGCAAAAAGTATTCTGAATTCCTTTTCGTAGATTGCTGCTGTGTTCAGCAGCTGCCAGGACACTGTCTAGATTCTCTTAGCAGGCCAGTTGGCTGGGAAACACAGTCCAGCTGTGGCGGTGTCTCCCTTTGATCTGATGCCCTTGAGGTTTGACTAAGGAAGTCAGTTTGTAGGAAAGTGACCATTGCAATTACTAAGCTCACCCATCCTAGTGGCCTTGCATCTGCTGGACACACTGCCCATGCTTACGTTGACCTCACTCCTTCAGAATCAGTTCCCCTTGAAATGTCTGTGTCTTGATGTTAAACTGCTCAAAAAATGTAACCGTGTCCCACAACCTCAATATTGAACACAGCCAAGAAGGATACAAGGTAAGTTGTTCAATGACCAGCTTTCCATATGAATTTAGCAGCAGGTGTGAAATGTGCAGTATCAACCAGAAAGATTGTTGTATGTCAGAGAAAGCCAAAAATCAAAGGAAATCTGTATTCTGATTGTCTGCACACTGCAGGGGCATGTATTTGTCACGATAAAGCATTTAGGAGCCACACAATATCTATAGTTTAGCAGTCACTTGTAAATGAATGATTCTACTTTATATGAACAGAGCTGTTTTTACTTGCAGCCCTTTCTAGTCAATGATAATAAAGATGTGGTTTTGGGAAACAAGGTCACTAGGTAATTTCACCAGGAGATTGAAAAATAAACAAGCCATCTCATGTCCTGGGTTCAGAGTCTGTATTTTCCATATCTGCTGCTATGATGGAGTGGCCTCTGTAACAAGATTCCTTTGCTCTTGCACTTACCTTTCCCCAGCTGTGTTCTTAGGGGTCAACTGCAGCTGCTGCTTCTGCCTATGGTTCACACAGCACCTCTGCAGCTAGCTGGCCAGACCTGTTGTTTTTTATAGTATAGTACTTCATACTTTGTAAACTCTACCCCAAACTGTAGATGGTAAAACATTTTACTTGAGAAAATACACTAACAAGGACTGGGGTTGTGATGTATGCCTGCAATACCAGCACTTGGAGAACTGAGGCAGAAAAATTCTAAGTTAAAGGCCATCTTGGTCTATACAACAAGACCGTGTCTCAAAACCAAAATCAAGAATTGTATGAGTGATCCCTAAAGCACTGCAGAAGTTTTGGCTTCTTTCTCTCCTGCATTTATTTCTTTGCTGTTTCTACAGAGAATAGATTTTTCTCAACAAAATTTTGAATTTGAAATTGCTATTTCCTTATCAACTTAGGAACTTAAGATTTTGTCTAAAGTATTTTGTAAGATGCCACTCACCAGCTAAGCTTTAAGACAACATAAGTAATCAGAGCTAAAAGTTCTGAATTCGACCAAGCAGGGGGGCTCCAGAGCCTGGGGGTTCCCAGTGCAGGCTTTAAACAGTATCTGTTCAGTTCTTATAGTAGCACCTGCTGCTGGGTGTGACCACTCTACCCTGACTTCCCCTGTAAAAGGAAAGAAGTAGAGAGGTGGTGTGAGACACAGAACCAGACTGCAAGGCCTGGCATCTAGACACCGCCACTTAACTCTATGGCCTAAGAAAGTAGGGTCCCCTCTCTGCAGTGGTTTCTTTATCTAGTGCATGTTTCTCAGTGCTTTGTGTTAATGTGCAATACTGTCAGCAGTTTCTTATATCCCTAAGCACTGCACTTTGTGGATGTTGTTACTGTTTCACTGCGGTTAGTTTACATCTCACAGATCCATTATGTCTCACTCAGAGAATAAGTTTTCAGTGGCCTTTGGTTACTATTACTGGGAATATCATCATGGAAATAACATTGTTTTTATTTCGGAGGTAAGACTATGGGGCTGGGAGATTTGGAAGTTGTGACTCAAGGGCCCCAGGCATTTCTGTGTTCTAGGATGAGTAACTAGAAGCTGTCCTTAAGCAGTAACCAAGACATTTCATGACTGAAAGTTTTATGTTATGTATTTTGAGGAATATTTTCCTTTAGGAAAATGCCTTGCAGGCTTGCAGGCTCAGTGGATGAAGATACTTGCTAAGCAATTGTGGCAACTTGAATTCTATCTTCCTAACCCCACATATGGCAGAGGGAGAAAACTAACTTCACAAAGTTGTCTACTGACCTCCATGTGTGCACCATGGTATGCACATACTCATACAATTATTATAATAATTAAAAGAAGACACTTTGAATTTTGTTAAGATATTCCCTATAACATATACTTAGCCAGTGGCATTTTCTTTAAAAAAAAAGAAAGTTAGTAGCAGTGACATGTTTGCCTACCATAGGATATCAAATAGCAGTACAGACCTGAGCACCTCAGCTACCCTCCTGGAGAGAGACTACCAGAACAAAGATGTACTGGCTAGTTTTATATCAACTGGACACGAGTCATCCAAGAGGGGAGAGCTTCAATGGAGAAAAGGCCTTCATAACATCCAGCTGTAGGGCATTTTCCTAATTAGTGCTTGATGGGAGAGGGACCAGCCTATTGTATGTGGTGCCACCTGGGCTGGTGGACCTGGGTTCTATAAGAAAGCAGACTGAGCAAGCCATGGGAAGCAAGCCAGTAAGCAGCACCCCTCCATGGCCTCTGTATCAGATACTGCCTCCAGTTTCCTACCCTGTTTGATCTCCTTTTCTGACTTCCTTCAGTGATGAACAGTGCTATGGGAAGTATAAGCCAAATAAACCCTTTCCTCCCCAACTTGTTTGTGGGTCATGGTGTTTCATCACAGCAACAGAAACCCTAACTAAGACAAAAGATCTCCAGTCTAAATGAGCTTGTTTATGCTGCTCTCTGTCCTTCACTTTATCTTTTCTTCTTCCTTGACAGTAGAACATAGAACCCATGA